CTATCAACACAGGGAAGCAGCCAAACTGCGGAGACAAAGAAACAGGTCACAAATGAAAGAAATGGAGGAAAGCAAACGACTGGATAGAGTTCAAAACCATGGTTATAAGGCTACTCAAGAATCTTCTAGAAACCTCTGAGAAATATAGTGAGACCCTCAAGGATATGAAAAAGGAACAATTAGAAATTAAGCATACACTGACTGAAATGAAGAATAATATACAGAGATCCAATAGCAGACCAGAGGATCCCAAGAATCAAGTCAAAGATTTGAAATACGAAGAAGCAAAAAACACCCAACAGAAAAAGCAAAAGGAAAAAAGAATACAAAAATATGAAGATAGTATAAAGAACCCCTGGGACAACTTCAAGTGTACCAACATCCAAATTATGGGGGTGCCAGAAGAAGAGAGAGCAAGATACTGAAAACCTATTTGAAGAAATAATGACAGAAAACTTCTCCTACCTGGTCAAAGAAATAGACTTACAAGTCCAGGAAGCGCAGAGAACCCCAAACAAAAGGAATCCAAAGAGGACCACACCAAGACACATCAAAATTAAAATGCCAAGGGCAAAAGACAAAGAGAGAATCTTAAAAGCAGCAAGAGAAAAACAGTTACCTACAAGGGAGTACCCATACAACTGTCAGCTGATTTCTCAACAGAAACTTTGCAGGCCAGAAGGGAGTGGCAAGTAATATTCAAAGTGATGAATAGCAAGAACCTACAACCAAGATTACTCTACCCAGCAAAGCTATCATTTAGAATTTAAGGTCAGATAAAGAGCTTCACAGATAAGAAAAAGCTAAAGGAGTTCATCACCGCCAAACCAGTATTATATGAAATGCTGAAGGGTATTCTTTAAGAAGAGGAAGTAGAAGAAAAAGGTAAAGATAAAAATTATGAATAACAAATACATATCTATCAACAAGTGAATCTAAAAATCAAGTGAATAAAAAATCTGACAAACAGAATAAATTGGTGAATAGAATAGAATAGAATCAGGGGCATAGAAAGGGAGTGGACTGACAATTCTAGGGTGGAAGGGAGTGTGAGGGGTGCGGGAAGAGTCTGGCCAAAAATCATACACCTATGGATTGGGGGGGGGGGGGGGGGGGGTGCGCCGCGGGGGCGGGGACCGGGTGGAGAGGAGCTATGGGAAGAAAAAGAGTAACAACTGTAATAGTCTGAACAATAAAGATTTCTTTAAAAAAAGAAAAAAGAAAAAATTGGTCATGGTCATTACCCAATCTCTAAGTAATATATCCAACTGGATTATCATGCTAATAAAGAAAAGGAAAGCCACAGGAAGCTCAAGAAGTAATTTATAGCCAAACCGGTTTGGCTCAGTGGATAGAGCGTCGGCCTGTGGACTGAAAGGTTCCAGGTTCAATTCCGGTCAAGGGCATGTACCTTGGTTGCAGGCACATCCCCAGTAGGAGGTGTGCAGGAGGCAGCTGGTCGATGTTTCTCTCTCATCGATGTTTCTAACTTTCTATCCCTCTCCCTTCCTCTCTGTAAAAAAAAAAAAAACAATAGAAAATATTAAAAAAAAAAAGAAGTAATTTATAACTGGCTCAGAAGTTTGGTGACATAGTAGGATTACGGGAGCCAGCAAAAACTGTATGTAATAAAATGTCTTTTAGAGAACACCACCACTTTCCCTATAACAGAGTTCAAAGGGTTATTTTCACTCTTCAGTCACACTAAGGACCAGAAGGCCAATCATGACACACAGTAACCAGATTTCCTAAAAAGGCATTCAATTCTGTTCTCTTCAGAATCTTCCTATCCCAACAATCCTAAATAAAAGGCTAATATGCATATCGACCAAATGGCAGAACAACCGGTCGCTATGATGTGCACAGACCACCAGGGGGCAGACACTCAACACAGGAGCTGCCCCCTGGTGGTCAGTGTGCTCCCACAGGGGGAGCACTGCTCAGCCAGAGGCCGGGCTCGCAGCTGGCAAGCGCAAGTATATATATATCCATCCCTCCCTCCCTCTCATATCAATTTTTTTTAAAAAACTGTAATGTGATCCTACCCAGAAGTTTCGCTCAGTGGATAGAGCATTGGCCTTTGGACTGAAGGGTCCCTTGTTTGGTTTCAGTCAAGGGCACGTACCTGGGTTGCAGGCTCAATCCCTGGCCCTGGTTGGGGCGAGTTCGAGAGACAAGCAATTGATGTCTCTCTTTCACATCGATGTTTCTATCTCTGTCTCTCCCCCTCCCTTTCACTCTCTCTAAAAATCAATGGAAAAATATCACCAGTATGCATATATGCATAACCCATGGTTGCAGACAGTGGGGTGGTGAGGGCCCAGGGCAGGGGTGGGCTGGAGGGGGTGGATGGGGGGGGAAAGGTGACATATGTAATACTTTCAACAATAAAGATTTTTTTAAAAAGAAAATAAAAAGATCAGGTGAGGATTAAAATTTAAATTTTTTTTAAATTGTAATTTAAGTTATCTTTCTACAGCAGGATGAAGAACTAACCCGACAGGAGATCAGCAGAAAGGTTCTCCAGGTAGAGGGACTAGTAAGTGTACAGACCGGAATGCACTTGCCTTGTGGAGTAAGACGACCAGTGTGGTTGGAGCATAGTGAGCCAAGGGAAAAGTAGTAAGATGATATGATACCAAAGAGGTAAACAAAAGCAAACAGAACCTGCATCCTTGTAGGACCTTGTAGCCTACAATATGGTGATTTGTGTCTATGCAGACTCAACTTTGCCATTTACTTGCTGTGTGAATTTCAACAATTTATCTATCTAGCCTTTTAAAAGAGGATAAATCTACCAATCACCTTGAGAATCAAACAATACAGTACATATAAAGCACTATGTATAATGGCTGGTACATCGTTTCAAATACTGGCTATTAATCCTAGTGCTAGCAGGATTATATGATTATCAAGTCTAGTGGTTCTCAATATGTTTCCCACCCCAGCAGCTTCAGCAACACCTGGGAACATTTTAGAAACCCACATTCTAATGCTCTACTCAGGACACACCAAATCATAAAATGAATGTGGACCCATCAGGTGATTTTGATGAGCACTAAAGTTGAAGAACTTGAAAGCTGGAGCTTCTAATCAAATCTCCGAATTTCGCACATAAGTAAGTAGAAACCTAAAGAGATTTAGTGACTTGTCCAAAATAACAATGGAGACCATTTGTTTAGGGTCCGACCATTTGTTTAGGGTCCATTATATGCCAGATATTATGCTGGCCTGGCCACTTGACATTTGTTATCTCAGGTCCTCTTAACAATCCAGCCAGCCACCCCTACCCCCAAAGCCCACATAAACAGAAGAAAAACTGAGGTCCAGAGAGGTGAAATAATTTGTCAAAGGTTGCTCAATTATTAAGTGGTAAAGTCAACGTTTAAACCTAAGAATGTGATCCCCAAATCCTTAGTGGAACTAGGACTACTGACTGGTGTAGGGGAGCAGTACTGAAAGCACCCTAAGACTTCACTCAAATACACCGGTCTTCTTACTCTATTACAGCACATTGGCTGCAATAATTTTACTATGAAACATACCAGAAATTACCACTACTTTAAGCTCAGAACAGAGATAATTTGTTCTTCACTCAAATAGAAAAAGAACAACGAAGACATACTATAAAGACAGATTATGAGATAGGAAGAAACAGAAGTCAGGGCTTAGAGAAATTAGTATGGCATAATTCTGCAGCATAAATATAAGAAAAGCATAAGAAAATATTTGCTATTCAATCTTCCTATTCTCACTATTCCCAAGAGCCTACTACTTTTATATAGTGAGTTATCAACTCACTAAAATGGCTACAGATTTATAAAAGCCCAATGATAATAGTAAAGTGTTTTTAATCTAAAATAAGTGTTATAAATTTTTTAATTTTAAAAATTTTAAGTAAACAAATTGGGTAACTCTCTTCTTCACCCTTCAATCCCAAATTCATTTAAGCAAGTTGAATAGTATTCCTTCTGCATACTCCAGTACCAGTGATAAAAAGGAACCAGAAGAAAACAGAAAAACAAAATTTATTATTTAATTTCTACCTTCTCTATTATCTTCATTCACACAATACTGTTTGGAACCTTGTGTTAGGCAGTGGGCTACAGATAAGTACCACAATACAGCTTACACTGTAGTGGATGAGAGACAAAAAACTGTAGTGGGAAAGAGACTAAAATAGCCATGCTAAGTAAGAGCTGAGGAAAAGATGTTAGAGGGAACAGTAAGTTCAAGAGGTGTAACTTAAGATTTTGATTGGTTCAAGGAAAGGGGGACAGAGTACAAGGCAGAATACAGACCTAACCAATTTGGCTCAGTGGATAGAGCATCGGCCTGCGGACCCAAGGGTCCCTGGTTGGATTCCGATCAAGGGCACGTACTTGGTTGCAGGCTCCTCCCCGGCCCAGCAACCAATCGATGAGTTTCTTTCACATCAATGTCTCTCTCTCTTCCTCTCTCTAACAGATAAATGGAAAATCATCCTCAGATGACGATTAACAATAAATTAATAAAGAAAATAGTAAGGTATGAGGCTGAAAAAACAATCAGGAATAATGGCATTTATAAGGCCTTAAAGGCTATAGCAAGGAGTTTAGGTTTTATTCTAAAAGCAAATGGAAACTAATGAAAGGTTTTTAACCAAGAAAGTAACATTAAGTTTAAAATGACCACTTTGTTGCAATATAAAAAACAGACTTAAGAAGAAAAAGTGAATACAAGGAAACTAGTTAAGAGAGGTTCAAGGAGAGATAATTATGGTTGTGAAGATGAAGTCAAGAGATCGAAATATATTTTAGGAACAGAACCAGAAAGTCATGTAAAAGACTGATAGTAGGAATGATTAAATATGAATCAAGGTCCTTATAAAATGAGGGTGGAGCTCTTATGAATGGAATTAGTGCCCTTATTAAGAGACCTCAGGGAGCTCTTCCTCTTTACTATAATGAGAAAGAAGTATGAAGTGTGCAATCCAGTATGGAGCCTACACAGAAACTGACCATAATGGCATCCTGATCTCCGATGTCCAGCGTCTGGACCTGTGAGAAATAAATGTCTATTGTTTATACGCCACCCAGTCTGTGGTACTTTTTTATAGCAGCCTAAAATAAGACAAAGGTGGACTCCTAGACTTTATTTCATACTGGAATGAGGAATGAGGTGGAGATAGGGAGGTGGAGTTGCAGGGTGGTGAGAAGTAAAACTGGATTTTAGCAAGGGGAATCAAGAACTCCGCTTTAACATACTAAATTTGAAATACGTACAAGACAGACAATTGGATATGAATCTAAACTTCAGAAAGAATATATAGTTGGACTAAAAATATAGTTTGGAATTATTAGTGTATGGATGATACTTAAAGGACAGGAAGAGTATAAGGAAGGGGGGGTACTTGAAAACTAAACCCTGAAGTACTGTAACAGAAATCTGGATAGAGAAGGTAATGGGGAAGGCGGGAGGGAAGCGAATGTGCTGTATTCTAGTTGATATCTCCTTTATAGTTCTGGGTCTACCCAATTTTCTTCTTTTGAAAGTCAAATTATCTAGTTGAACCCAATCTCTACTCTTTTGCCCCATCTATATAGTCTCTATCTCATTCCTACACATCTTTATCAATAAATAAATAAAAAGACGTGGCTTTTATCTTTTAGAGACAGATTCTGAAATATATAGAGATGAAAAATATGTTGTATAGACTTGGCTTCAGAATAATCGGGGTGTGTGTGTGTGTGTGTGTGTGTGTGTGTGTGTGTGTGTGTGTGTGGTGGTGGTGTTGTGGGGGTGTCTAGATAAAACCAGAATAGCCATGAGTTAATGCCTGCTGTAGCTGAGTGATACACACATACACACATGGGGGTTTAACTGCACTGTTCTCTCCACTTGTATGTAAGCTTGAATTTTCTACAATAAAACATAAAGGGAAAAAGGAGTTGACAAACACCAGCACAAGAGTAATATCTCAATTTTACTCAGAGTAATGAGAGCTACAACCCAAGGATTTACAGCGTTGACCAAGACATTCTAGAAGTTTAAAGGCACACCAATGGAATTTCAGGGTGAAAATATTTTTTCCCTAAACTATGTATTGTTATTTTTAAATAATGACTCACAATTCTCCACAGGGCTATGGCAAACTAGGCTCTACTTAACACTTTCATTTCTTAAGACATATACTTGAGTTAGAAAAATTTTATCATTTTTTTAAATCTCTTACATTCGCTTGGGAAACTAGAGAGACCTTCACACATTAACTGAGTAGACATCAAGTGTTCCTACAATAGTTAAAAAACCATTCATCACACACATTCTGTGAGATGCACAAGGCTCAACGGTTACTAACCAGTGAAAGGTTGGGTGCTGCAGGCTCTCTCTGGGTCAAAACCCTATACACTAGTCAATTATGATGCTGTATTTAATACAGAAAATAACACACAGTAATCTTCATATAAAAGACCACAATTTCAAGATGAGAATTCCTAATCTACACATTCTTTAAATAAAATACTACTTTTCTCTTTTTTAAAAAATTTATTTTAGAGAGAGAGAAGGGGGTAAGGAGAGAGAGAGATGGGAGAGAGAGACTGATCAGTTGCCTCCCATACACACCTAAGCTGGGATCGAACCCGCAACCTAGGTATGTGCCCTGACCAGGAATCAAACTGGCAAACTTTTGGTGTATGATGTTCCAACCAATTGAGCCATTCAGCCAGGACTAATGTTCCTTTTCTTTTTTTTTTTTCTTTCTTTTAATATTTTTAAAAATATATTTTATTGATTTTTTACAGAGAGGAAGGGAGAGAGATAGAGAGAATTAGAAACATAGATGAGAGAGAAACATCGATCAGCCGCCTCCTGCACATCTCCCACTAGGGATGTGCCCGCAACCCAGGCACATGCCCCTGACCGGAATCGAACCCGGGACCCTTCAGTCCACAGGCCGACGCCCTATCCACTGAGCCAAACCGGTTTCGGCTAATGTTCCTTTTCTTAATCAAAGTTTTCTTTCCTAAAACCTGACAGTTATTATGAATTCACCACCAAAATTAAATTAAATTTATTTTACATATGCACGTACATATTCACATACCCATAATCATCCTTCTTAGTTGTAAGTAGAGATAAACCAAATCTTTACTCTCTTCTACTAAAATAAAAAATTTCCCCTAGAAATGCTGAGGATTGAAATGAGTCACAAAAAGTAGAAATTTGACAGTATCAACACTCACATTTAAATTGAAATCCTCAATGGTAAAATGCATGACATAAATTCTCTACATAGACTGGTTGCTCAAAGGTCAATCCTCCCTCATTTCTTCTAGTCATTTATCAACCAAATCCAAAGGCCTTTTCCAATGCCCACCTGACTCGGGTTCTCTGTCCCCAGAAAGTTCCAAGAATATTCAGAAAGAAAAAAGAAACAAAAGGGGAAGGGAAATTTTTTATTAAATTTACATAGTACCTTTCCTCTCGGGCTTCACAATTTAATAAAACCAATAGAAGAAAACCAGAAGGTTCAAAGCATTAATGACCTAGAAGGCAAAACACAAGCGCAATTTAACTGTCATGGACCAAATTATGCCAAAACACAGTATCGCCTGTGTAAATTTAATTAAACCTGTGTAAATTAAAAACAAAGCAAAATGTTCAAGGTTTAGTTTGACAAGGTTACTTTTATTTTCTGGGCTGGGAGTCGAGTCTCACAAACAGTATAAAAAATATAAAGAAAAATATCACAATTCTTCAATTATTTACAGATTAAAATACTTCTCCTGAACATTTGTTATTTAGGGTTGGGGTTACAACAAAGCTAGAGTACAGTGTAACACCAGGTATAGAAAGCAGATGCTACACAGTGAGACTGTAAAACTTCTCTCTCAAAACATTATGCTAACCTCTTCTGCTGAGCTTCTATTCATATTTGACTCCCGTGGCTCATCTCTATTCCCTAATCCCCCTTTATCCCCTTTTTACTCTACCTACTTATTCTCTACCCAACCCCATCCTCTCTAATGTCTGATAGTCAAAATAGTATTTCATGCTGCCCTGGCCGGTGTTGCTCAAGGGTTAGATTATCAGATCTCACACACTGAAGGGTAGTGGGTTTGATTCCCATTCAAAGAGCACGTGCCTGGGTTGCAGGTTCGATCCCAGAGGCAGCCAATTGGTCTTCTCTCCCTCCCTCTATACCCTCCCATTCCCTAAAATCAATGGAAAAAATACCCTTGAAATGAGGATTAACACACACAAAAATATTTCATGCTAAAGCATTCGCTGAAATATTGTGATTTTACAACCAGATATTATCTTCCCCTTTCTATAAACTTTAGAAGCTTATTACAACATTCTTAGAGTTGCATACCGCAAACTTACATCCATGTATAACTTATGACTCCTCAAAAACTTTACTAATAGCTTACTGATGACAAACAGCATTACCTTGCTGATAACATAAACAGTCCCTTAATACATATTGTGACATATGAATTATACTGTATTTGTACAATAAAATAAGCCAGAGAAAGAAAAATGTTATTTTTTAAAAATCATAAGAAAAATACATTTACAGTATTTATTGAAAAATAAAATCTATGTGTAAGTGGACCCATGCTGTTCAAATCCACATCGTTCAAGGGTCAAATGTACTACTTATGTATCTCACTTTGTATCCTCAAAGTTTAACAACAGCATGCTATCTTCAGAGTTCCCTCTCCAAATCCTTATAATATAGCAGACACTCAATATTCATTGGAAAAAATGGTGAATTCACCCCTCTAGATACAAACAATTGTCATAAAACTTTTCAGTGTGCACTTAAACAATATGACAACATGGCTTCCATCTTCCTGTTTTGAAAACTGTTTCACAAGAATGACTCATCCTTCAGTGGAAAAATCCAGATGTAAAGGTGGCTAAAGTGTGTTACAATCAGTTCCCCAGGCTCTCTAGCTACACTCAGACACGAACAGAGGCTAAGGGCTGCTAAAGCTAGTTAAGTGATCTCTGCCCTAGGTACAGCAAGTTATCCAGGAATAGAATTCACATTTCCTGACTCCTGCCTTGACTTCAGAAAACCATTATTCACACACTACAAAGACATTATTAGCCTTCAAGTCCCTAAATCAAGAGCAAGCCTGGCTGTTTGAATTTAAATGTGTCTAAAGGCTCAAATATCTTTAAAAATGCTAAGTCAAATTCAAAGATAGTAAGTCAAATAAAAAGGTAATTATTTTTCACCTGATCCAAAGGCATCACCCGACAGCAAGGACTGGAGTCAAAGGATCATCATAAAAGCCCACCAATATACAAAATTAGAACTCACAAAATAACAGAATTACATGATTCACACTAATCTTACCTCTAACCAGGAATCCTGTGATAAATTCATTAAACCTATTCACACTCCACTGCAACCCAGTGGGCTAAAATCAATGCTACAGGCATCAGACACAGTATTACCATTGAAAGTTCCTAATCCCATCTAATAAAGATGGAATATGCAAACTGACCCCCACTCCACGACAAAGAGGCGCCCACAGCCAATAAGGAAGGAATATGCAAATTGATGCGACAAAGACGGTGGCGGCTGGGCCAGGACACCTGCTATGGGGAGGGGCAGGAGGTGGAGGGAGCTACAGGAGGGCGGCAAGGCCGGAGCAAAGGCGGAAGGTGGCTCCAGCCCGGAGACAAGGCAGAAGGTGGAGGCCAGAGCAAAGGCCCAGGTCCCGGGTCAGAGGGAAGCCGGTGCCGGTGGGAAGCCGGTGCCGGCAGCCAAGGGAAGGAAGGCCTACTCTTGCATGAATCTTCGTGCGTCGGGCCTCTAGTTTGTTATAAAGTCTTAAGTTTTGAGTAGAGACTAGTGTCAGTTAATTAAAAGGGAAAACAGGAAAAAGGAAAACTAGAAATCTTTCTTACTGCTCTATCGTCAAATCTAGAGATATTGTAAGAACATACAATACCTGAGATATTATAAGAACATGATCTCTATTTACTAAATAAATGAAGGAAAACCTCATTTTTATAAAGTAAACTCACAGTATTC